GTGAAGTATTCTACTGACTCAGTGAAGCATTGCCTAATTACCTAAAAAGATAGAGATCATATCAGGGAGAGACCACCTGTATGAGAGAGCTTGCCTGGTAGTTAGAAGTTGACGATAGCCCTGAGAAGGGGAAGGTGGGAGAGAGAGAGAGAGAGAGAGAGAGAGAGAGAGAGATTATCTACGGAATGGCGGTTACTAGATTGAACACTGGAGATTCATTAAACGTATGACGTTTTAATATTCTGCTCATGGATAACTTCAGGTTTGACTGATCTAGAGAGAGAAAGAATCAGTCGTTGGAATTAGCCAACACTATATTTGAATATGCAGCTTTGAAGTAGCAAATTCTGTATATCTCGCTTCCAACCCTTCATACCATTTACAACATTTCCACAGATTGAGATATCATCGATTTCATCATGGTAGCGGCTGTTTTCATCAGTTACTCACATAAAAATGGAGAATCTGATATAGATATCCTGGGGATATATCAATCTAGTTCTCAGCTCCGTTGTTCATGCAGTAGTCCCTTCCAAAACAGAGTATGCCTAGAGCTTCATCACAGCGAGTGCGCAATATGCCGACTGCGAGATCAATTGCCGCCTGGGTAGATGCTCCGGGACCTCGGAGTTGCTGATGGGATAAAGCCGCTATATAATCAGAGGTCACGCTCGGCAGATATGTGCATGATAATAGTTCTAGAATGGTAAGTGAGGTGTCTTGATGTTCGCATGTACTATGCGTAGTCATGCACATGGTCGAGCAGCAGAATGAGAATGATGTCCACAAAGCCTATAGCACGCTAGACGTTGAAGGGAAACTGGTTCCACTTTCCATGTAAAATATCAATTCGGGGGTTAGTTATATCAGCAAGGGCGCTTAAGAACACGAGAGTTTTCTGCAGCAAATTCGATATCGTGGAATTCGTCAGCAAATCGATTGCAGCCAACGGACCCGAACCAGCCCACATTCCATTCTCCCGTCGGCAGACAAATGGACCACCTGATCTACGACGGTTCTTCATTCGTAAGATCGATATAGAATGCTCGGCAGCATTACTAATATCTTCCTCGATCAATCGGATTCTGTTTCAACGTGCCTTTCTCGCACATGTGGATTACACGTGCCTAGGCGAAAAGCGATCGCAGCGATGCGACTTTCTGCCTTTTAACTTTCACTCTTGACCTGCCAGATCATGAAATGCTGTTATTATATAGTGCAGGGACGTGTTGTGAAACAGCCATAAACGTATGAGTATTCCGTTGTTCTGGGCTTGTCGCCGTGGCGTGGGTCCCCCTGACGATCCGAGTTCCGATCTACACGACTTGTCGCGAAGATCAATATGTGGATTTATGATGTTCCTTTCGATAAGTTCTCTGCGCATAATCATATTATTAGTCGTCTTTATTTTGAGTATATTGTTATGTCTTTTGCGGGCTCGTGATCAAGATACCCAATCCCGCGCAGATCTCTTGCTCCGGAAGACATGCCAATTGACCAGATCAATCTTCTGAAATGGTGAAGCTGATCATGAAACTCTCCGCTGGTTACAAAACACATCCATCCCAGCGCGAGAGCGCGGGATTTTCAAATGCTACTCGACCCATGCCATGTCGTATCGCGACGGGAGCCAGGCGGTAAATCGCGGGAGAATACCGGATGGTCGGATCACTCCGTGCTCTTTTCGTTCGGAAGACAAACACTCCTGGCTACACTATTAACCTAGACTGGCCCGATTCGGTCCCGGAAGACTCCACTAGTCGCGCATGGGTGTTTTGACAGGATCCATGGTATATGCAGCGCTCACCGGATTGGTGGCTTTGATGAGGTCTTTTTCTTGCTGGTTATTGCTGCGGACTGCGGCAGTCCGTGTGGAGGTTGTAGCACCACCTACCATACTGGTAAGGCAGGACACTGCTGCCCAATAATATAAGCATGGACAGAATATCGCTCACTCGGGTTTTGACTGCAGTTTCATTTTATAGTTCTCGTAGTCGATCGGTGATTGCGCTCGTGTTTGTCTTTTAATTGGTGGGTTTGATACAACTACCACGGAAATGGCGCAGACGACTGGTAGAGTATGGGACGGGTTGCGTTGGTCCAAGCCTCACCAGTCTGGCGATGGTCCTGGCGACCGGGGACGGATCGATGCAGCCGACGATACTCAAACTACAGGCGTTTGGATCTGGACTCAGCTGGGCTTGGATTACGTATAGTATTCGATACAGTGATGAACACGGGCCAGATCATTACCAGATGGATAGATGCAATGAAGGACGAGAAGAGTCTCGAAGGAGGAAACATGAAGCCAATGTCGCCAAAAGAAGTCCTATACAATTATCAACCGTCAAGTAGATATTGCCCCACTACAACGTCAGCTCGGTCAACGGGTATCGATTGTATGTACGATGAGCCCATAAATATTGTTGATCCTTTCCGGATGCAGGCGATGGTTCACCGTTTAGCGTGCGCCTTATCTAATGCCATTCCTTGCTTTCGGTCCATTGGATTCCATGAAACGGAAAAAAAAAGGGGGTCTGCCGTCCGGTCGGCGACGTCACAGTGGATCCCATTGCGATGGTCACACACCATGGGATGTAGAATGATGACGACCAAGAACTATGACGGCCTGGATGTGGTATCCTTGCAACAAAGAGTGGAAAGAATGGTCATTATAGGTTCTCCAACAATTGATTTTCTCGGCTGTCTTGTAGTGGGTCGGACGTCACTGATCAGTCGCTGATCGGTTGGATGATCGAGAGGATCAACTGTACGATCATACTTCATGATGACATTGATTTGATAGTGTCTAGCAGTGGGATAGCATGTCGTCAGGTCAATATTTCCCATTGGTATAATGACTGCATAGTTTACACCGGTAACTGTCTCAGACGCAAGGTCGGTAGGACAGTGGTGTTCTGAGCGATTTATGTTTCACGGGGAACTTTAGCCAAATAGAGACTTATCCTAGTGCAGGGCTCACGGAACAGACCGGATCGTGGAGTGATTGGACTGAATCCTCAAGTAGACAGAGTGAAAGAAAAGAGGGGAGAAAAGAGAGTGTTGTGATGTTCAGGTGATTTCCTTGGATACCAATCATTTCTAACTGTTCTATCCCGTATCTTTACAGGTTTCAATCCCCCCGCCCCACCCGTGAAGTTGCCAGCACTTTCTTCATTCTTTGCATTTCCATGGCTGCCCGGTTCTATCCCCGCCTTGATCCCCTTGGACCCTGGTAGTGACTTCATGATATAAAGTCACTCGACTCTCCCCTCCTGCCAGTTTTCATTATTCTGTAAATAATCTAAGCCACCATAGCTCAACCACTCATCTACTCTAACTTCCAACCATCCATCTACTACTTCCTCAATACATCTTCCTCAATACATCTTCCACTCTACTACACCTTACCCAACGCAACACAACACCACATCACTACAACACTACTACAACACAACACTACTACTACCCCTCTCTTCATCCCTTCTTCATTACTCTACTCATCTTCTTACGCAAAAAATAACCATGGGCAAGAAAGCGATCCAGTTTGGCGGCGGTAATATTGGCCGTGGTTTTGTCGGAGAGTTCCTTCATGCCGCTGGCTTTGAGGTCGTCTTCGTTGACGTCGTTGACTCCGTTATTGAGGCCCTGCAGAACGCTTCCTCCTACGAGGTGACCGAAGTCAGCGCCGAAGGAGAGAGCACCAAGGTCATCACCAACTATCGCGCCATCAACTCCAAGACTCATGAGAGCGACGTCATCCAGGAGATCGCGACGGCCGATATTGTCACCTGTGCCGTGGGCCCTCGCGTCCTCAAGTTCATCGCCCCGGTGATCGCCAAGGGTATCGATGCCCGTGCCATCTCCACGCCCCTGGCGGTGATGGCCTGCGAGAACATGATCGGCGCGACCGATTCCCTGCATGACTTCATTAAGAAGGAGACTCCGTCGGACCGCCTCCCCTCCCTCTACGACCGTGCCCGGTTCTCCAACTCGGCCATCGACCGCATCGTTCCCAACCAGCCCGAGAACCACGGTATCAATGTCCGCATCGAGAAATTCTACGAATGGGTCGCGGAGAAGACGCCGTTTGGCGAATTCGGCCACCCCGACGTCCCCGCCATCCACTGGGTCGACAACCTGCAGCCCTACATCGAGCGCAAACTGTTCACCGTCAACACCGGCCACGCCACGACTGCATACTACGGGTATAACCGCGGCAAGGAGATGATCGCCGAAGCCCTGGCGGACCCGGACATCCGTCGCATCGTGCACGAAGTCCTCGAGGAGACCGCTTCCCTCATCGTCGCCAAGCATGATATCTCGGTGCAGGAGCAGAAGGACTACGTCGACAAGATCATCAGCCGGATCTCCAACCCCTACCTCGAGGATGGCGTCGAGCGTGTTGCCCGCGCCCCCTTGCGCAAGCTCTCCCGTAACGAGCGCTTCATCAAGCCGGCCTCCGAGCTGGCCGAGAACGGTCAGAGCTACGAGAAGCTGCTGGGTTCGATCGAGATGGCCCTTCGCTTCCAGGATGTCCCCGGCGACGAGGAGAGTGCCGAGCTGGCCCACATCCTCCAGTCGCAGTCTGCCGAGGAAGCCACCGCCCATCTGACGGGTCTCGAGAAGGATCACAAGCTGTTTGCCCCTGTCCTGGAGCGCGTGGCCAAGGTCCAGCAGGAACTCAAGTAGACTCCACCACTTGAGGATCGATCTGTCGGAGACAGCCTTGACCATTTAAATGATCAGTCGCAACATACGGACTGACCAAAAGAGGCCTTCGACCGAGATCAAGGTTCGACCGCAGGACGGACCGAACCGCATGGGATAGGCGAACAAGGACGTGGACGGAGCATGGGAATTCGGATTGCATATGTATTAGCGGCTAGTGCAGGCACGAGCTTACGAGTAACGATAATTGAGTTCACTAAATGACATTTCCTCCGTATCTTTCATACAGTAGTAGCAGTAGTAGTAGCAGCAGTACCTAGTAAGAAGAATCACAACTTACTGTCCACCCACACCGGCGCCCTCTTCTCCACAAAAGCCTTCAACCCCTCCTTAATATTCTCCCCATCATTCAACCTCTTCGCCCACCCCTCAACCAACAACCTCGACCCATCCTCCGCCCCAACCCCCTCCCACCCCAGCTTCACTCCCTCCCGACTAACAACAACCGCATCAGGACTATTCGCCGCAATCACCCCCGCAACCTCCACCGCCCTCTTCACCACCTCTCCCCCGCCCTCCCCATTCTCCCCCCTCACAACAGGAACCAACTCATTCACAAACCCCCACCTCTCCGCCTCCTCAGCCAGCACCCTCCGCCCAGTCAACACCATCTCCAGCGCCCGCTGCCGCCCAATCGTCCGCACCACGCGAGGCAGCGCGCCCGCCCACGCTACCACCCCGCGCTGCACCTCAGGGAACCCGAAGAAGGCGTCCTGCGCGGCGATGACCATGTCCGCGTTGATGACCATCTCGCACCCCCCGCCCAGGCACAGCCCGTTGACGGCACAGATGAGGGGCTTTTTGCCGCTGCGGCGGGAGAGGCCGCCGAAGCCGGTTGGTGGGGGGCCGGGGCGTTGTTGGCCTTGTGTTTGGGAGTTGGCGGTGTCGTTCCATTCTGGTTTGCAGATTAACACTGAAGTATATATAGAGGTTACGAGGGAGGCAAAAAGGTAGGAGGGGGAGGGGGAAATCAATACCCTTTAAATCAGCGCCCGCGCAAAACGCCCTCCCCTCGCCGGTGAGCACTCCCACGCGTAGATCCGGCTCCTCGTCCAGCCATTCCCAGACGGCGTGCAGCTCGTGGTGGCCGGCTGTGTTGATGCTGTTGAGTTGTTTGGGGCGGGAGAGGGTCACGAGGAGGACGTGCGGGGAGGGGAAGGTTAGTTTGGCGTGTTGGGGGGTTGGGGGGGTGGTTTTGAAGGGCATTTTGTTTTTTATCTTTTCTTTTCTAGTAGTAGTATTGGAATTGAATGGGGGTTTTTTTTTCGGAAATAAGTGTTGGTTGTTTATTTAATAGGTAGGTAGGAGGTAGAAAGAGGAGCAGAGCAAGGGGTGTTGAATATAGTATGGAGTGATGTCTGTCTGTTGTCATCTATATGTGGCACGGTAGATAGAAGCTAGGACGGTTATACTATGGGTAATCCACTTGCCGAGGCCCGATCTATGTTTACTTACTCCTCTCGATTGAAGTGCGGAGAAGGATCTGCGGTTGTTTTACCTTCTGTGTTGTATGTATGCTGGAGACCACGAAGTATTCCCGATGGAGTTGTTATTAAATACTACGCGCCTGAACAAATTAGATGTGAGACATTTTTCGGTGTAAAATCGATTGATTGCTGCTGTTGTGTTCGCCATTGCGTATCTACTCAAGCCATGGCCGTCCTGCTGCCATAACGCCTAACTCCTTCAAAACATGGATATAGAGAGTAAAACAAGAGAGTAAAAAAAGAAAACGATCCAATCCACCATCGCTCAATATGTCCATCGCACCTACGCCTTGTTGATCCATCCACTGTGCACCATAAAATCGTAGATGCGGTTCGTCTTGGTCCCGTCAATCTGATCTCGTCAGTAATCGTACAATGTTTTACTCGAGTAGGAAGTCTCACCTTGCAAATCGTCCTCGCGTCTTTCTTCTTCAACGTCCCGTTCTGCTTCATCGATTCCTTCAGTAGGCTCTCTTTGACCACAAGGTACGGTTTGGGCTGGATGTGCAGCACGTTGCAGAGTTCGACCTCTTCCTTCGTCAGCAGGTGCAGGTCCGGCGCCCCCTCGGTTTCAAGCTTCCACGGAATCACCCCGTTCAGCGGCTGCACCACGAATTTCGTCTTGGCCGGCTGCGGCGTGCTGATCCCGTCTCCGTTGCTGGCGAACATCCGATCGAAATCGTTCATCGGCTGGTTGGCCGGCTCCGGGGCCTTGCCCGCCCCCGACGCCTTCTGCAGCCGCAGAGGGAGCTCCGGCGTGGTCAGCTGGCTGGCCGTGGACGGGCCCTCGGGCTGCGGCGCCTGCTTGGGCCGGGTGCTGGCGAACCGATCGAAGGCACCCTGCGGCGCGAGTCGCTGCTGGCGCTGCTGCTTCTCTTGCTCGTATTTTTCGCCGCCCTTGAGATCGCCGATCCCCATCTGCCGCCATTCTTGTAGTTGCGAGATCGCCAGCCGCAGGTTGTGCTCGTACTCCAGGCCCTTGTTGAACTCCTCGAAGTCGTCGTGGTTCATCATGCGCGCGAACGGCTTCGCCTTGTTCAGCAGGTCGCGCTCTTCCTTGGTGCGTTTCTTCTCCAGCGCCGTGTTCTTGCGGTACTCGAGGAGGTTGTGCTCGAAGAGGATCTTTTTGCGCTCCGTCCGCGCGGTCAGGCGCGAGTTGTAAACGTCCACCACGGTCATCTTCAGCTCCATTTCGGGGTCCATCTCGCCGTTCTCCAGTCCGCCGGCGCCGGGCTCGAACGTCATATGCTGCACCGCCTCCTCCGCGTCGTTGAGGAATTCCGTCTCGAACTCCAACCGCCCCGGCATGTACCCTTGCACTTCGTGGCAGGCCGGAACACTCGCCGTCGGCTTCTGCTTCGGGGTTGTCGGCGGGGCCGCCTTGGCTGCATCTTTGCGCTCCTCGATGCGCCGCTTCTTCCGGGACTGGAACTCCTCTTTGGAGATCTCATCGGACAGACGCGTGTCCTCCGGGTCGCCGCGCTCGGGGAGCGGGAAGTTGGGACTATCCACGTAGGTGCCGATGTAGTGGTCGCGAACCTCCTCCTTGGTGCGGTAGCCACCGATGTGGTCCGCAATATCAGCCCACGAACCTAGGCCGTAGATATCCGCGCCCTCCAGGAGTAACAGTTCCTCGTCGGCGCCCCAGTCTGCCTGGAAGATGGGTACTGAATTCTGCTCGATCACCTGGAACGGATGTGTGGAGGGGTCATGGTTTTTGGACCGTTCGCCTGCAGCGAAGCAGGGAACGCAGAGATCGTACTCATGGCAGGACGGATGCGCACACGAGATTCGGACCTAGATTGGTGGGGTACCGGTAAGCTCGAACCATCCGGGGGTACAACAACAATGACAAGCAAATTCCACGCCCCATCCACGAATCGGTGGTAGAAGGAAGTCTTACTGTCGAGGTCACATCCACAGAACAGATATCACAGTGGTATTTGGTTCCTGCTTCGGTACCGCGCGAGGCGGTTTTCTTCCGTATTACACCCATCGGTCGTGGCTCCCTCTCATCCTCCACTCTTCCCTGATCTGTAGCGCCCACACCTAAAAGCCCTCCCCTGGATCAAGAGGGCAATATCCACACAGTATACTGAACGGAGGTTTGTCTTGTCCCGGGGGTGGGGGGGGGGAATGAATAACCGAGATCAAGGGGATGACTCCGCAATAGTCGCGCGAACGGGGGCGACCGATCGATCTATTGTCAATAAGGATAATACGATCTGGCTGATAAATTTGACTCTGATCGAAAAGAACGCGCGTTCAAGTGAACCGTTGGTAATTCGGATGATGCGATTAGGAATGTTGAGTTGGGGTCATCTCAATAAGCTCATGTCGGTAGATGCCGTATCGACCGATCCCCGTCTTGAAGTGATGGGGTTGTGGCGGTGGAAGTGTGGCTCAACCCCAAGTGAATCACTGATTGCACCGCCCCAGGAGTGAAACCTGAATGCCTGGGACAGGAGGGATCCAGGCACTCAGGCAGACAGGCAACCATGTTCCTGAACCAATCAGGGCCGAGTTTAACATACAGTAATTCATAATTTCATCCACCGCAAGACTTAGGTAAGTCACTCATTAATACCGATTATTCACCTCTTTCATCCGTCTTCTTGCCCCCCTCTCTTGTCTGTCGGTCTCTCTCTCTCTCTCCCTCTCGACTCTCTTCTCTTCCTCCTCCCTCCCTCTTATCCCGTCCCTTGTCTGTTATATCGTTTCTTTCTCTCCCCTTCTCCCCCGTCATCCCTCTTCTCTCTTTCTACCCCCACCCCTTTCACTCAAAACAACCTGGGTCGTTGCTACTCTCTGTATTGTCGACCCTGGTTTGTTTTCCCATTCGTCTGGTATTTGGTGTAGATTGCACAATCGTTTCCTCGGTTCCTCTTCCCTTCCCCCGCTGTTCTGGCTGACTAGTCGGTTTCCCCGATCAGCCTCTCTTCTTTGAGTGTGCGTGTGTGTGCGTGTCAACTGCTGACCGCTGTGGCTGTGGCGTCCCTGCATATCTCCCTTGGGCTACTTGGGACTCTCTCATTGACTCTTTCACGCTTCGAAGGATCTCTCCTTCTCCTCTCTCTCTTATCCTTTTAAATCGGGTATCTCCCCCGATTGATCCTTATCTCTTCAACCTCCCTTTCTTGGACTTCCAAGATCCCCTCATGACCATGTCGTGGAAACTCACCAAAAGTATGTTCAGTTGGTCTTCCCCTCCCCTCGAAATTTCCCTCTCCCGTTCGATCTATATAATTCCTCGGATACGAATCTTCAGGTCGGGGTTGCGGGACGAATGCTGACGAGTCGTCCAATTCAGAATTAAAGGAAACCCACCTTGCTCCTTTAACCCAGACCTTTGCGCGGTCCTCCTCGACTTCCACGATCAAGGGCGACGCCGCTGAAGAGGCTCCGACGCCGGTGGCTACCCAGTCCCCAAGCAGCGTGTCCCCCAACAATGGAATCAGTATGTTGCTTCCCATTACCTTTTTTTCCTGTTATCATGCCCACCTATCCAAAGGCTATATCCCATATTTTCCATTGCTAACATGTGATAAGCTGCCTCGGAATCCCTGGTCTCCCCGCCCGTCGCTCCGGTGAAACCCGGTATCCTCATCGTCACCCTCCACGAAGGCCGAAATTTCGCTCTTTCCCCGCACTTCCAGCAGATCTTTGCCTCGCATTTCCAGAACAACAATGCGTATCCCGTGCGCCCCAGTTCCTCTTCCTCCCACTCGGCGCATGGCCAGGCTGCCTCTTTCGTACAAAGCGCTCGTCCTCAGTCCACCAGCAGCGGGATCAACAACGCCCCCACCATCCATGGTCGTTACTCCACCAAGTACCTTCCTTATGCCCTCTTGGATTTCGAAAAGAATCAGGTGTTTGTCGATGCCGTGTCGGGAACCCCGGAAAACCCGCTCTGGGCCGGTGACAACACCGCCTTCAAATTCGATGTGTCGCGCAAGACGGAGTTGAACGTCCAACTGTACCTGCGGAACCCCGCCGCGCGCCCAGGTGCCGGTCGGAGCGAGGACATCTTCCTAGGTGCCGTCAAGATCCACCCGCGCTTCGAGGAGGCGGCCCCGCCGTATGTGGAGGATCCGAAGCTCAGCAAGAAGGACAACCAGAAGGCGGCCGCGGCCCACGCGAGCCAGGAGCGCAACTCAGGCCAGGGCCAACACGGCAATGACTGGATAGACCTCCAGTTTGGCACCGGTACCATCAAGGTCGGCGTATCCTTTGTCGAGAACAAACAGCACAGCTTGAAGTTGGAGGACTTCGACCTCCTCAAGGTCGTCGGGAAGGGTAGCTTCGGCAAGGTCATGCAGGTCATGAAGAAGGATACGGGCCGGATCTATGCTCTCAAGACGATCCGTAAAGCGCACATCATCTCGCGGTCCGAAGTCACGCACACCCTCGCCGAGAGGTCGGTCTTGGCCCAGATCAACAACCCGTTCATCGTCCCTTTGAAGTTTTCTTTCCAGTCCCCCGAGAAGTTGTACTTCGTGCTCGCCTTTGTGAACGGGGGCGAGTTGTTCCACCACCTGCAACGGGAACAGCGTTTCGATATCAACCGCGCCCGATTCTACACCGCGGAACTGTTGTGCGCGCTCGAGTGTCTGCACGGGTTCAAGGTCATCTACCGAGACTTGAAGCCCGAAAACATTCTCCTCGATTACACCGGGCATATCGCGCTCTGTGATTTTGGTCTGTGCAAGTTGGATATGAAGGACGAGGACCGAACAAACAGTAAGTTGCTCCCCGACCTGTGTCTCTGCTTCGTACGCTTTGGACTTGCTAACCCCGTTTCAAAGCATTCTGTGGCACACCCGAATATCTTGCCCCCGAGCTGTTGCTGGGTAACGGATACACGAAGGCGGTCGATTGGTGGACGCTGGGTGTCCTTCTTTACGAAATGTTGACTGGTCTCCCTCCGTTCTACGATGAAAACACCAACGACATGTACCGGAAGATCCTCCAGGAACCGTTGACGTTCCCCAGCAGCGACGTGGTGCCTCCCGCCGCTCGGGATCTCCTGTCCCGATTGCTGGATCGGGATCCGGAAAGGCGCCTGGGTGCCAACGGTGCCGCAGAGATCAAATCTCACCATTTCTTCGCCAATATCGATTGGCGTAAGCTGCTTCAGCGGAAGTACGAGCCCAGCTTCCGCCCCAACGTGGTATGTTTTGATTCTTGTTTTATTTCCCCCCCCCCAATTGTCAAAGGCAATGCTAATTTGTTCAGGTCGATGCCCGCGATACCGCCAACTTCGACCGCGAGTTTACCCAGGAGGCACCGCAAGATTCGTATGTGGACGGTCCGGTTCTGTCTCAGACGATGCAGCAACAATTTGAAGGCTGGTCCTACAATCGGCCGGTCGCCGGTCTCGGGGACGCGGGTGGCAGTGTGAAGGACCCCTCGTTTGGTAGCATTCCCGAGTAGATGGACTTAACCCGGTTAGAAACGATGGCCTGTTTAAGTTCGTTTCTTGGGAAGCGGGAATCGGCTCGAGGTCCATAGAGAGATTGTTTGACACTAGTCTTTCTTAGCCCTCTCCTTTTCCTACCTTACATCCTTCTTCTGTATCCAGCTCAAGAGGCTCGGGTTCTCGCATGTTTGCTTCTTTTATTGGACAACTTCATCCTCCCCCACATCTTTTTCCCCCGAGACAGTGATCTCAGCTGAGCGCTTTCTGTTTCTTGTACCTTTTGCATTTGAGATACAATCAAGGCAGGTTCCTATCAGTCTGTTTTCTGTTTTACACTCTTCTCTCTCTCCCACGCAGGTGGGTGAAGGGGGGCTCTCTTTTGACGGTGTCATATACACACGTATCTATTTTCCTACCTATCATGTCTCGGGTTTGCATCATCATCACCATCATCATCATCATCATCAACAACAACAACAGTTATCTTCAACATATAAACATGCACACAAAACACAAAACACCGCTCGTTTCGTCAGGTTATGCATGGCTTGTGTCTTTGGGAGTAAGAATGGAAAAATGGGATTATACCGTATATGTGTTTCCGGAGTTTACTCCTCATCCACTGTTCCATCCAAGTTCCATCACATGTGATCTTGGTTCGTAGGGCTCTCCAGTCTCGTTGCGGCTGCTTCAACAGTTTCTTGGCCCCAGTGTGTCGATTTGCTCGTTCAATCTGCCTGTGCACGCGCCTTTCCGTGAATTTGATCGAACGCGGGGATGAGGAAAACTACCTTCATTTCTTGCCCCCCTTTCCCAATCACACCCGCTCCTGTTCCTCTTTCCATCTTGGTGCTGTGACTGTTCACTCCGTAGACAGATGATATACGTAGTACATACAATCCGCTGTTGTCACCGTTCGTAGTACAGTATACAGTAGTGGTAGAGTATTATCCTCGGAAGATAGAGTCGAAAATGGGACGAGAAACGATGTATTTTATCTATCACTCGCTATGGAATAGGTGAGGGTGGCTGGGTATTCGATTTATGGTGTATGTTGCATTTTTCTAGAGAGAATACAGAAAATACAGGCCAGCGAGGAAGGGAGGCATGACGTCCACCGAACACGATACAAGATGGTGAAGGGGAAGATAATTATGAAATAGTATAAAATAGGTTGATGTTGATATACGGACGCAGATAATTCTAAAAAAAAAACAGGTATGTCAAACAAAAATAGAAAGAATAAAAAAAAAAGTAGAAGGGATAATGAGAAATCCTGAGCCCCAGCCGGTTTTGCGAAAGTGGAAGAACAGAAGAAAAAAATAAATAGATAAGATAAAGCAAAATACAGATTACCATGTCTACCACATGCTGATATCAAAGGGTGTTGTTGATCTTTCTTTGTTTCTCTTCCTCGTGAAAAAAACTCCAGGGTCCAGTCCAGGCACACTTTATCCATACATTTGTCATTCACGGGCTTCGCTCCACCGCAAGGAGAGAGAAAGAGAAAGATTGGGGGAAATTGGGGGGGGGGGGAATCGAATCTATGCCGACACTTTACGCCTCGGCCTCCACCTCCGGGGCACCGTTCTCTGCTGTCTCGGGCTGACCTTCCTCGTCTTCACCGTTGACGTCGATGAGCGACTCCGAGGAGGGGGGCTGCGGGGCGACGCCCTCCTTCTCCAGGCGGATGTACTCGTCCCACTCGGGGAACAGGTCGTCGTCCGTGGCGGTGGCGTTGGGGGCTCCGGGCGGCACACCGATCAGACGAGAGGTCTTGGATTTGCCGGCCTGGTCCAGGGATGCCTTCCACTGCATGACCAGCTCGGGGGCGCGGGAGGGCTTGTAGGTCTGCGCGAAGAGAACGGCCTCTGCGAGGCGGTTGGTGCGCACAAGGAGATCAATGCTGCCGTCCACGTCACCGAGGGACCAGAGGGTGGAGAACGCAACGTTGTGCAGGCCGGCTTCAGAAGCCTGTGTGGCGAGCTGGGCCAGGCCGTCCTTGTTGCCGCTGGCGGTGTGCAGGAGGAGGAGCGAGCCCAGGTCTTTGGCGTTGGAAAAACATTCCTGCGCCAGAGACAGGTTCCACCCGGCCATTGCGGCGTCACCGACGATCTTCCACTTGTGTTCGACGTTGGCTTCGCGGGCGATCTCGAGGGCAATGTCCAAGTTGTTGAGCGAGAGTGACAGCTCGAAGCGGTGTTCTTGGTCCGTGGCAACCTCAAGCGCCATCTCCTTGTACCCCTGGCCCTCGAGGAACCGGGCGACCTTGTTCATCTGGTCCTGGGGAACGTCGTTCAACAGCTCCGCGGCCAGGTCCATGTCTCCGCGGAGTACCACGGTCTGGTATTCGACCATGCTGAGGGAGAGACCGAAGGAAACGACATTGACGTCCTTGTCGGCGAGATAGATCCGTCCATCGCGAGGCAGATAACCAAGGACGTACATCCCCTGGTCGAAATGCGAGATAGTGTAGGTTTGATCACCCACGAGGTAGTTCAGACGGTTCGTCGAGTTGGTGTAAATAAAGCAGTCTCCAACCCACTCGCCAGTTCTGACAGAGTCGTTGATATCGGTCACCACTTCGAAGGCCGACTCGACTCCGTCCTCGTCAGCTTCGCCCTCGTTCAAGCCATTGACATAGTTCTCCCGCGAGAATCGCAAGACGTAGAAGGATTCCTCGCATGCGAGCGTAACCAGCTCCCCAGACTCGGACCAGTAAACCTGTTCACACTGTGAGCAATCAATTGCCGGATTTGCCGGGAAAGGGAAGATCTTACAGCCTTGGGCTCAACTTCGATACGGCGGACCAGGTTTCCGGTCTCCCAGTCGAACATCCCAATACCTCCTTGCCCCTTCACACCAAGGAGGACACCATCGGTGAGACCTTCGGCTTGGAATCCTACGTCGAGACCACCACTGACTTCCTTGAAATTCTTGAAGATCTTGACGCTGGTGGGGGACTCGCGAATGGCATAGTCATTGCTATTATCCTTGGAGCCCCACGCGAAATCAAGGGCCTGCCCGAAAGCCTTATTCCGCCAAGCGAGAGCAGTGTAAATGATGTATTCTCCGTCGCCGCAGACAGAAACGAACCGCCCGTTGGGAGAGTGGGACAAGGTCTGCGGGTAAACTTCGCAAGAGCCCAGATCCTTCGTCGGTAGGGAGATGGGAGCCCCGTCCTTGATGGTAGGGTCGGACCCCTTGATGACTGTCGAGACCACTTCGCTATGTCTGGCCCAAACAATCTTTCCTGACCCGTCCATGGAGACAGCAGGTTCTTCTCTACCCATCTTCACAACCACCGCACCATCGTCGAAACCCATGGCAACTCCCTGGCGGCCACGCTGATAGGCAATACACCAAGCGCGCTCCAGGCCATAGCTTAGCGATTGTTCCAGCCTATAGGTGTTGGCGTGCCAGATCTTAATAGTCCCATCCTCGGAACCCGAAATGATTACGGGCAGTTCCGGATGGTAGCAGGCAAAGGAGACATTGCTGGTGTGCCCCTCCAGTGTTGCGATGAGCGCCTTAGTCGTATAATCCCATACCTTGACAGTCCTGTCATCTGAGGTGGTGAGGAGGTAGGGCTTGTCCGCCTGCGGGTAGTAATCGACGTGGTTCACGCCCTTGGTCTCGTGAGCCTCCAACGTGAAATTGGCATGGGGGGAGCCAAGGCTCCAGATCTTCACGGTGCGGTCCAAGCACGCCGAGGCGAACGTATTCGTGTCCTTGGGGTTGATCGACAAGCCCATGACATAATGGCTGTGACCCTCGTACACCTGAACGCACTTCCAGCCCTTCTCCCAATCCCACAGCTTGATTGTCATGTCATCGGAGGCGGTGAGGACAAACGGTTGGGTGGGGTGGACGGCAATCGAGCGAATGTAGTCGGGATGGGCCTCGAACGAGGCAATCTTCTCGGAGGTGTTGTAGTTGTAGATACGGAGTTGGAAGTCATCGGAGCCGCAGACGATCCAGTTCTTGCGGGCAATAAAGCGACCGGCGCGAACAGGGACGTCCGTGAGTTCGAAAGTTTTGATGATAGACTAGAATATCGCCGGTCAGCTATGCATCTATCGCCATTGCTTCATCGAGCTTACCTGGGTCTCATAAGACCAGATGTAGACATGGCCTGTCTTGGGGTTAGCGCGTTCCAACAGGCCATTGCGAGTGTTGATTCCTTCTACCCACCACTATAGAGACTCGTCAAGATCTAGACTGCAGTTAGCACCACATACACCTGTGATGAATACGAACACACTCACCCATGGTTCCGTTGGGTGGAAGTCAATACCCTTCACCCGCTCCGACCGGGCGAAGAGTTGTCTCTAGAATTGCGGGAATCGTTAGCCCCCCTGTTCTGTAGCCTGCCAGGACCTGTCACATCTGTCCATCTGCCCAAGCGGCACCCATTCGGAGAGCTGTCCTCGTACCTTGATATCCAACCTCATGATGTGTGGGGTGTGAGAGTCGAGACTCTGTGCGGTGTCGGGGATTGACCTGTAAAAAGGAGCGCAAACCAGGCCACGAGCGGCTCACACAGCCAAACCCGGGACTATAAAGATGTCGTGTTTTTAAAAAAACGGAAGTCACAAACCGCAATGTCGGAAGCAAGTCAAGGTCCCGACTAGAATGGCAAGCCAGGTTTATGGAGATGTTCAGGGACCGATTGACAGCGATGTGTCCACAACAAGTCGGGATCCCGCCTGGACGCCCGCTTCACCGCCTACGCTTTCGGGACCCACCACCATCGTCACCCAAAACGATACGTGGGATGTGGTACGGAGTAGTGTTCGGTCAATTTACATGTGTTGTTAGAATAGAGACATTTGTAAGATGTAATTGCATATTTCAATTGGCCTGGGGTAAAGGTACTAGTGAGGGCATAGTAGACTACCTCACTATCACACCAACATGAAGCCCCCCTTAGAAGCATGATCCCCGGCCTACTCCGTACGTTCAATCCGTCTCCATTCAGATGCCCTAGAAAAAGAGACAGACAAGGACTTTATAATGGATGCTGTTGTATCGAAGGGCATGCTTTTTCTATTCGACACACAATGGGTAATAAATACAGGTTCGAGATTAACGATTTAGGAAAATCTTCCATTAGACCTTTACGTGCGCTCAAAGTAAGTCCACTGGCCAGGGCTAGGCTTCTCAGCGAGTTCCTCCCACCTAGACGAAATGTGAGTACGAGCTGCAACAGATTCGACATGGGTCTCAACGGAACACTTACACCTTGGAGTTGTACATCTCGTCCACGAGCTTGTTCTCGCGCTCCGCAACCTGAATGACCTCCTCGATCAGACCGGCACCAAGCTGCTTCTCAATCTCGGCGACCCTAAAAGTGAACGGGTCAGTAATTCTACGGGTATGGTTCGACAAAAGGACATGGACGATGACGTACTGGTCAGCCAGGAGAGCAGGCTCATTCTCCCACTTCATCTGCTCGGTGTGGAAATCCCAGGGGTCCTTTTCGGTCTTGGTAGCCTCATCAATGCTCTTGGCCCATTGCGCCTCCTGTGCTGCCGTGCGGTGAGGGCCTTCGGTAGTCGGCTCAATCTGCTCACCATCCCACTCCTCGCCACGGGGATCATCGGTCTGGTCATCACGCTGATGGGCGGCATACGTGCCATCGGAGCGACGAAGAGAGGCGAACCGCTCGGGCTCCGCGGCCACGGCCTTCCGGGCGCGTTCTAGCCAAGCATCGAATCCAGGCGGCTTGGTCGACTCGACAATTTGGAGACGGTGGTTGGTCAATGCCTCGGTGGACTGACGGTAGACCGACGATTCGGGGAAAGACTTCAATTTCTGCAAGGTAGAGGTGTAGAGAAAGATCAAAGTCGGGCGGGGACTCGGATGGGTTTGGAGACCGGTCAACCCGGTAGGAGCGAAAGGCTCGAGGTAGCGGGCCTGCTTAACATTGGCCAGCAGCCGAAGTGTCGATCGCATCTTGAATGTGGGATTCGGTTCCTGTCGAGATTCAATTCGGAATTGAATATAGTATATTGGTCGTTCAACAGGTCAAGAAGGGAATTGACCCAAAAGTGGTGGATAGACCCAATGATAGACGGGCTAATGATAATGTGAAGTTGAAGCGCACCGGAGCCCGGGGAAACTAATGTTCCCGGATCGTCACTTTCCCCTTCCCGGCTGGACACTAAAGACTTCTAAGCCTTCCTTACGGCCACTTAGACTATTCTCGGACTTTATCGATTCATACCCATCCCGGTCGGTTGATAGGGGGCTTTCTTGTCAACGTCACCCCTCTATTTTCCTTTAACTCGTCTTTTGCTTCAACGACTGTCGAGGCCCTCCGGAGACAGGATAGGCTTCTCTGTGGTTCAACATCAATTGGTCTTGTTCTCTCCTTTCCACTGCGGTGGTCAAGTCCAACCCGGCTTTGTTGGCCACTGGGCCCGCTTCTAGACCCTCACTAGGCCCATGTGCCACCTTTGACCACCCACTACTTATCTCAACATCTCCCTGAGATCGCTTTCGCTTCGATCCTCTCTTTCACTCTCTATATCGAATCTTCAAAAGCCTTCCGGCTTTGACCTCTACCCAAAATGAGGGCGTCTTTGCTGGCGTGGTCCCTCCTCTCGCTTTTCGCAATTCCCACCCTCGCCGTTCCCTCCAATGACCAGCATGTTGAACCGCGAAAGAACCACCTGGTGAAAAGGTCCCCGCGGTCTGGGGCGGGGGATTTGGATAAGCCAACGACGTTCAATGGTATTGTCGTGCCGCCGATGAAAACGTTAACCCCCGACAATTTTGAAGAGACAGTCAAAGATGGCTACTGGTCAGTATCGCTTGTCCTCTCAGCGACCCCGGTTGTTTCGTTCGATCGCCACCTAACTGTCACCAGGTTCATCAAGTTCTACTCTCCCGCTTGTCCCCATTGCACGAAGATCGCTCCGGCATGGCAGACCCTGTACGAATACTACTACGTGAGTGTCAAAGATCCCTTTTTGGTGGCCCTTTATCTTACGCTGAGTAGACGTCCGATCCTTTGTCCTCGTCTTCCTCGAAACCGGTCGACACCAAGTCGTTGAACTCCTTCCAGGGGTTCTATAATTTCCGTTTCGCCTCGATGAATTGCCAGGTTTATGCGGACAAGTGTACGGAGTTGCAGGTCAACTACTACCCACTCTTTGCTCTGTATCACGACGGTCAATCGGTTGAAAACTACGACGGTGCCAGGACCATCAACGGCATTGCCGAATTCGTTGAAGGAAAATTGGAATTGATCAAACCAGGTTCCCGACCCCCAACTGGTGTTAAGGTGCCAAAGCCGGGTGCCCAGTTCGCAGACGCCGCTGCTGAGCCAGAAATCCCCGCCTCCAAGGACAAAGACCCTGAGGCGGGTGCCAAGGCGGGTGAAAAACACAATGAACAAGTGGCGCAGCTGTCCGCAAAGGATGCTGCCGGGAAGGATGCTCCAATGCAGAAACCTAAGCCCAAGCCCAAGCCCGCCAATCCTCAGGGGCTCTCTGTTCCGCTGACGGCGGAAAGTTTTCAGAAGCTAGTCACCACTTCTCAGGATCCCTGGTTCATCAAGTTCTATGCACCATGGTGTGGTCATTGCCAGGCGCTGGCTCCCAACTGGCAGCAGATGGCCAAGGAAATGCAAGACACCTTAAATGTTGGTGAAGTGAACTGCGACGTCGAGTCGAGACTCTGCAAAGACGCCCATGTGAGCGCCTTCCCCACAATGTATTTCTTCCGCGGTGGGGAGAGGGTCGAGTACGATGGCCTCCGGGGACTCGGTGATTTGATCAGCTATGCCAAGAGCGCTGTCGACATCGGCGGGGGTGTCCAGGATGTCGATGCAGCCGCCTTCAAGGAGCTGGAGGAGAAGGAAGAAGTGATCTTCTTATATTTCTACGATCATGCCACTACCTCCGAGGATTTCGCGGCGTTGGAGCGCCTGACGCTTAGCTTGGTCGGCCATGCCAGGCTTGTCAAGACCAACAGTGCGGCTTTGGCCGAGCGTTTCAAGATCTCGACGTGGCCCCGTCTCCTTGTCGTTCGCGACGGACGTCCCAACTACTTCAACGCGTTGGCTCCCAAGGATATGCGCGACTTCCGACAGATCCTGGGGTGGATGCGTACGGTCTGGCTGCCTATCGTGCCAGAGCTGACTGCCTCCAATGCCCGCGAAATCATGGATGGCAAGTACGTTGTCCTTGGCGTCCTGAGCCGGCGGCACTCGGATGAGTTTGTGCAGGCAAAGAGGGAGCTGAAAAATGCCGCTCTTGAATGGATGGACAAGCAGACCCAGCTGTTTCAGTTGGAGAGGAAGGAGCTTCGGGATGCCAAGCAGTTGCGCATCGAGGAAGCCGATGACCGTGACGACCAGCGAGCCTTGCGGGCCGCCAAGAACATGCGTATCACCATCCGCGAGGATGACAAGAAACAAGTCGGCTTTGCCTGGGTCGACGGTGACTTCTGGGAGCGCTGGCTCAAGAGCACCTTCGGCATCGATGTGGACAGCGGCGAGCGAGTCATTATCAACGATCAAGATGTAAGTGCATCGCCAGTAAGGATGTGGGGTTTTTAGAAATCAAAGCTAACTGTCACAGAACCGTCGCTATTGGGACTCTTCTTCTAGTGGAGCTTCCATCATGGCCTCACGTACTTCTATCTTGGAGACCATCCCGCTCGTCATTCACAACCCACCCAAGCTGAGCTCCAAGTCTACCGTGGGTACCTTCGAGTCGATCTTCTTCTTCACGCGGACCTTTATCTCCACACACCCCATCATCTTCGTCATCATCTTGCTAGTCTCCATCATCACGGCCACCCTTTTGGCCCGAGGGAAGTTCGCCCGTCGCGTCCGTGGTGGTATCCTAGGCGTCACTGGCAGTGCGTCAAGTGGACTTTTCCACTTCGATGGAAAGGACGGTATTTTGAATGGGAACGGAACTGGAAAGGTTGATTGATTGGGAACGCATAGCATTGTAAATCTAGGTCTCTTATACATCTTCTCATCTTCGACCTTCCCGTTTTAGTTCTTCGGAGTTGGCTTATATTTGGTACAATACAAGGCTCAAGGGGTTTTGGAGATTGATACTTGGCATAATCATCTGTCACTATCCTTCTGCTGCTTTTCTCTTTCCTGTCCAAGTTATTGTCTTGTTTACTTTGACCTTCTTGTTAATTTTCCAGGATGAGTGGTGTTAGGAGGATTGAAGCTCTGTGAACCAATATTGTTAGGAAATAATCCAACAGCAAAATACGATACCACTGGACAAACCAATCTAGCCGTTTGATATACCATCCTCTGATAATTGCTGATAGGTTTGTCGTAGTATGCAAGGTTTTCTGTGTTTCTAAAAGTTATCCATTATCTGCGCTCCAGACAGTTTCCAAATAAGCTCTAAAGCCGGTAGACAGCGTGTCAAAAGGGTAGTTATTCCAGAGTTCAAAATCTCCACGAAGATATCCATGCTCAATATCAATACAATGAATAGAGTGGAAATGCCGCTCATCTGATTCGCAGTCCCGTGCCATCACGTGATATGTAACAGCCACCGCTGATTGGTCCTCGGGTTGCCGCAAAGCATTCATCGTCGCGGAGTCTCCCGGTTTTCGTCTCCCGCACCAGCTGTCCACGTCAACTTACTCCCAATCGCCGAATTGAAACCTCGAGTCCGAGTGGCTTTTGAAGAATAGAAGTCATGGTATGTTATTTTTTTTTCTCTGAGGTGGTTTGACTGGTTTCATTGGGACAACGACACGCACGCTATGGGTTGTACGGTCTCGATGACGTCCGGACGAATGATCGAGTTACGGGTTGGCGGTCTATATGCGAAGAGGATTTGAGGGAGGAAGGAAGGAGTTGATTTATATGGTGCTTGTGCTAACGGGTGAATTGTTATAGTTCTCTCAGACCCTTCGCCGTGCTGCGGCCCAGACTGCTGGTGCCTACCGCTCGCCCTTTGCGCCCAAGTGAGATAGACCCCCCGTGTTTCCTAGTTGTTGGAGGAATACCTAGCCGGCACACGCTGTGGACAATGCATGATGTCTGTTGGATTCTGGCTGGGAGGCTTGGTCGGCTTCTGCAGGACTGCTTTTTGGCGTTCTTTGCGGCTCTCGGCCTGGTCTACGTCGTGCGTTTTATTTGGACCGGTGCCGGTTGAAGCGGCCACCAGCTAGGCCTGTCGGATGGTACATTCTATACTCGAACACCTCGACTGACTCTGGTCATCGCTCAATTTTTAGATATACCACCCCTCCCCACTTCCAGGGCTTCACCCCCAGCCTCGCCACCAAGTAGTGAGTACCCCCGGTCTTTCCGGACCCCGTCAAATGGCTGGCCTCGCGGCTACTTCATGGGTCAATGGGTGCTAATGTTTGGGGAAATTCAGTGCCACGATTGCCAGCACCTTCGGTGTCAGCGCCGGTGTCTTCCTGGTCTTCTTCCTGGGTGAAATTCCCCGGGTCCGCAACGACGTCCTCCGCCAGTTCCCCTTCCTGGACCAATACTATGACCGCCGTATTGCTCCCGAGGACAACGTATGTTTTGAGATCTGTGGCTTTGAATTATCTGGTCTGATGCTGACTCTCACCTAGCCCTTCTAAATGCCCTCAAAGGGTGAGGTACTTTCCTGCCGTCCCGCAGTGTTAGCAGGATATCTAGAACAGATTCTGGGGCGGGCAGTTGGCATTGTACTGTGTAGAATAGCGATGGGTTTTGATAGCACATAGAACATGTCCATCTGGAATTTCCCCTTTGTCTTTCAAAAGTGACCCCTGTCTCCGTAATTCGGTCTCGAGCATCCAAATCGACAAGGTGTCGCGACCATGTGGGCGCCTTAGTCAGTACCGTGGCCCTGGTATATGCTAACAGCCCTACTCAGGATAAATCAGAGTTTACGTTTGAGTAGGTTATGACAATAGCAGGTGAAACATCGCGCTAAGATATACTCCTTGTCAAATCGGTCTCCGGTAAAGTATAGCCCCCGATTCAAGAGATATCCTAGATGAAACGGACTATCCAATCAAGCACAAACCACCATCCCTCAACTCCCTAACTCTCAAGTTATCATCCCAGAATGGAGACTAGAAGTTGGTACAGAGGGCTGAGAGAGTGATCTAGTAAGGGGTTGCTTATCTCCCGCCTTATCGGGCGATGGCTGATAAGCATCACCTCCGACTCCATCCAATCTCTCATCCACTCATTTCATCCCCATCATTCGCCGTCTACTATCTGCTAGTCCAAGCTCTCCCCGAGCTTCACGTTACGTCTACCGCATGAAGTTTCCTTGCTGGGCCTAGGTCCTCTTGGCCAATCTTTACGGTTTGACTGTCTGGAAGGCCAAAGATAGCTCTGCTGTACACAGCCAGTAAGCATTAAGACGTCTCGTGAGGGGGTGCATTCCAACCCGACTTCTAGCCCAGAACTGGTCCAATCTGAGTCGCGCTGGATACGATGATCCTTGCCCCCCCCCGCAGGACTTGGGACGCAATCTGACCTCGTGCCGACTATTATCTGCTGTTTCGCGATCCGTTCGGGCCCTATGGGGAAGTGAGTGCTGTCGCGGAACTCCTATCAAGATTGTCGAATACCCTAGGGCAGGGTCTATGCCACTTACTTTGTGACCCCCCTGTCTGGGGGTGATGTATGTGGAGATCGCGATGGATTTATATAAAATGGCGGTGATTTGTCCCCATCGTGCCTGCCAAATGCATGAGACAAGTACTCGGCAGGAAAGGAGCGATTGTGGTTGGCCCTTGCCTTGTTTTTCTCTGGACTGTTTGCCATTCTTTTTACAAGGACTCGTTGTTTGTTACTCGTCTCTCAGAATATCCGCTGTTTTAATTCAAGTGCGAATGGTTCCCTCTTCCTGCCATCGTTCTGGAACGGATATTCTCGCCTCTCGGCGCGAACAAGGATCGATATGGCAACCACGCCAGATAACATGTCAAATAAAGCAAACCCAAAGCGGCAGTTGTACGCTGATGTCGTTCATGATCCCGTCACCAGCGTCCTCCCTCAGGGGGACATTCCCTACACCGACCATGCAATGGACAATGACGAAGCGGTGATCACGGCATTGGGATATAAGCAGGAGTTCAAACGGGAGTTCTCATTATGGTCGACATTCTGTGTGAGTTTTGCGGTTTTGGGGCTGCTCCCGTCGTTCGCGAGCACCATCTACTATGGTTTGTCTCCTCCCTCCCCCGCTCAACCTTTGACTTTCTTCGTGCAACCGTAAGCTGACGCTGCCAAAGGAATGGGATACGCAGGGACGGCAGGAATGGTGTGGGGCTGGATTGTCGCCATGGTGTTTATTCAGTGTATTGCAATGTCCATGGCTGAGCTTTGTTCTGCGATGCCTACGAGGTAAGTCTAGTCGCTTTTCTCGGTCTCTGGCAGGATCTGACACCAGATCCAGCGGCGGGCTCTACTACGCAGCAGCCGTTCTTGCCCCTCCTGGCTACGGGCCATTTGCGGCGTGGATCACAGGGTGGTCCAATTGGATCGGTCAGATCACGGCAGCCCCGTCGGTGAACTATTCTCTATCAGCGATGATCCTAGCAGCGGGCTCGATCTATGACCCAAGCTACACGCCCACTCAGTGGCAGGTCTTCCTTTTGACCACGCTCATGATGATCATCCACACGGTGATTAGTAGTTTGCCCACGAAATGGGTGGCCAGCTTCAACTCCTGGGGTTCCACATTCAACATGATAGCTCTCGTGGCCGTCATCATTGCCATCCCGGCGGGGACCAAGAACGAACCCAAGTTCACGCCCTCAAAAGACGTCTGGGGCACCATCACCAACTTGACTGACTTTCCAGACGGCGTCGCTGTGCTCATGACCTTTGTCGGGGTGATTTGGACTATGTCCGGGTACGACTCCCCGTTTCACCTCAGTGAGGAGTGCTCCAACGCGAACATCGCTTCGCCGCGGGCAATCGTCATGACCTCGGGCGTCGGAGGTCTCATGGGCTGGTTCTTGCAGCTCGTGGTTGCCTACACCGTGCTCGACATCGAGGCCGTCATAGACTCGGATCTCGGGCAACCCTGGGCCTCTTACTTGCTGCAGGTTATGCCGCGGAGAACCGCCATGGGCATCCTCGCCCTGACCATCATCTGCGGGTTCTCCATGGGCCAGGGGTGCATGGTGGCCGCGTCGCGTGTGACCTATGCCTACGCGCGCGACGACTGCTTTCCACTATCCAGGTGGTGGAAGAAGGTGAACCCGCGCACCCAGACGCCCGTGAACGCCGTCGTCCTCAACACCGTGCTGGGCATACTCATGTGCCTCCTAATCCTGGCCGGCGACGTGGCGATTGGCGCTCTATTCTCCATCGGCGGAATCGCACAGTTCGTCGCCTTTGCCATCCCCATCTCTATTCGGGTGTTTTTCGTGGGTCACCGTTTCCGCCGAGGGCCATGGCACCTGGGTCCGTTTGGTCCGTATATTGGCGCGGTAGGCGTGTCTTTTGTGCTCCTGATGGTCCCCATCCTCTGTCTTCCCAGCTACACAGGGCGTAATCTAACGCCCGATGTCATGAATTGGACGTGTCTGGTGTGGGGAGGCCCGATGCTGGCGGTGACCATTTGGTGGGTGATTGACGCGCACAAGTGGTTCGCAGGGCCCAAGGTCAATGTCGAACATAATATCCATCCCATCAGGGAGGAATCCTCGATGATTGTGACTCTGGGGGAGGAGATTGATGGTAGTAGTCAACCAGTGGACACATCGAGTCAGTCTATGTGAGTGGTGGATGAGACTAGCATACCACCTGAACAATACGATCAACGTTAGGCACGATGCCTCGAAGTCCGATAGCCCTTATGCTTGTACCTTTGGATCGAGCAAAGGATCACCAGTGAGACCTGCTACCCATGCAGGGACACCGTCCTCAACACATCTCAAACCATACAACAGGCATGGCCTCGAGCGATCCAAGTGAATGCGAAGACAAGTCTATCAACGGAGCCACCGTTCGTCGACACATCTGCGCCGCCACACGCCGATATTTTTGTTCCGATGGAAGTACACGGATGCTCGTATCTGCTACTATCTGAATCCAGGACTTACCAGAACAGAACTAACATCGATATGGCAAAATTACATATCAGATGTTTAGCATGAAGTGAAATAACGGATGTACAGCGTATACTAATTAGCATAAACCATAAACACATAAAGATGTAGTCCTATCAGAAATTGATAGAAACACGACACTCCTAAATGACAATATTTAACCGTATACTACACCCATATAAATCAATCACAGATATACTGGGTCTTGCAGATATATGCATGTATATCAATCAGTGGAGCAAGTAACAAGTCAACCCAGATCAACCCGTACCATTCCATCCGCCCTCCCTCCACCCTCCACCACCCCAGAGGCAAAGACCCAGCAAGGGCTCCACCAGCTGATCTGAGACGGCGGTTCCCCGTGGATCTATCTGTCGACGCTCGGTCAAGTTGCGCTCTACTCCCGGCATAAGTATTGTTTTGCTTTTCTGGCATTGTGACTTGGGCCTACGGAGTACTTTGGAGTTCACTACAAATCTATCGATGTAGCACACTCACAAAGTGAACCAGATAGTACTAGGTATACAAAGCTAGCCTAACAGTACCAAGAACTGGTTGCTCAAGGGGGTAGGTAGGTAAGTCAGCCCGCTCTGATCCACTGAATCTGAAGAGTCTCCACCGGGGGGAGGAGGGTGTTTGTCATGATGGAGTAGGAGGGGGGGGGTCGGGGGGGTAGTGCGCGATTGAACCTTGTCGGTAGTGGTAGTGGTACCTGGGTATGTGGGTAGTATGTAGGTACTTAGGCAGGTACCTACCGGAGTTAAATATGGGGTGGCTGGAGCGAGTTGCTTATCACATTAGCTTTGTATATGCAGTCAGTATATATGTACGGAGTATGGTTTTATGACTCTACCTGATTTGTAGGGATCTTATCTTAGGAGGCTGGGATTAAGTTATGGACTTGCTTTGGATGGATTTGCTATGTCAATGCTGTGCATAGACGAGTGCTTTCACCTTCGGGTTTAATGCTTCCGTTTCATCAATGGCTCGTCTATTCATTTCCCTGTTTCTTATGTGATTTCTTCTACACCAGTTTGTAGATTTTATCTACCTGTTTCAATTACATATATATAAATCGATAGATGTTCCTATAACACCGTACTGAACAAGGGTCCACGACAAGTACTAAGTAATAAAAAACCAGCTATCAACAAGGTTCGATGGAGAAAACCCACCCCTGAGCAACTACTTTACTTTAGTCTTGGTAGAATAAATATGGATTGACAGGGGGGAAGAGACCGTAGAGAGGAGAGGATTCCACTAATCCGTCGGATGAAACTCCGTTCCTGTCGACTATCTAATCTTCCCCACCTGTAGTATGTATATATAGTAGTTACTATGGTGCATATAGAGCTGGTATACATTTAACTGTGCGTTGTTACAGAGTCATATCACGGGACCAAGACGACCTCGAGTCCATGGTAGTACTGGTCCTACACTACAACCCGACCGCGGTCTATAATCAACCAGTTTCAGACTTTCATGTGGGCGGAAACGACGCGCTTAGCCGAGCGGAACGGAAGAAGGTCAAAGTCAAGCCGCGGTCAGCAGACTCGAAACCATCACTAGGTATATCCTGAGCCGTCCGTCTTCAACTAGACGATACGAACTACGGTAGGAACTGACTAGGTGGTAAATCCTAAAAAGTTACTAACCCATTTCTGCTCATTCCCACTCGGTCAACCTCACGCCCCCCCCCCCATGAGGCAAGACTGAATTGAGTGATTTGCCGCTTGACGATGAGGTGAGTGGCGCTCCTCTTGTCGGATGCGGGTGGACGTCTTTTATTGGTTGACGACGTCTCTACCACCTGGTAAGAGGCATGGAACCTAAGTTTGAGGTAAGCCGGTGCCGGCTTTGACTCCGGTAAGGTTCGGCAAACCTATTTTATGTTTTGTTTTGTTTCTTTTTTATATTTTTTAGAATTTTGTTCAAGGGAGGGAGTACCTAGGTAGGTACCTCGTACTCCGTAGATAATGCCAGATTCCAATAAGGGAGGGACAGTGGCGACTTGTCAAGAGTCAAGTCAAGACAAAAGACGGTCGGAAACCTCATTCCGAGTCATGGACGAGATACCCCCGATTTAGGACCGTGAGACACTGATAATACAGGAGTACTTCCCGGATTCGGCGGAATACAAAAGAATAATATTTTCAGTATCAATAAATAAATAAAACAGAACAAAATTAAAGAGAAAATAGATTAATAGATAATAATCAAGAAAGAAAAAAAGAAAAGAAAAGAAGAGAGGCGATCTGCAAGCAGGACTTGCAGTAGCGCAAATGGAGCCTTTGGAGTGCTATCCAATCATTCACTCACTGCCCTGCCGCATCAGGTTAGAAAAGACATCGTTGTTGGAGATGGAGAAACCTCTAGACACTTTTACTGTTGGAGACACTAGACGGTGGGCAGCAATTCTTCGGGTCCCCATCATCCATCTTCCGTACCCCTGCCGCTGCTTAATTCTTGATCAGGATTCGGATTGTCTGTTTGCTCCCGCACAGTCCCAGGGCTGGCCTTTTGCACCTGCACGTCGGCATCCTACGAGGGATAGTACTAACTAATTAACTCATTATCTAAGGTTGCTGTTATCGTAAGATCCGGCGGTTATGTCATAGTTCTGTCCGACTACGGACTACGGAGTACGTTCGGCTGATTGACTTTTTCGAGATTGATATGGCCACGAGTTGCCCGAGTCAATTCTCGTTTGCCTCGATGGCCGTCTTGAGTAGGTTAGGTAGTAACCGACTGGCGCGTACATGCTAGTCCCAATCTAGACGTTCTACCGCCAGAAAGAAGTATGGGAAAATAATGCCATGTCCGAAAAGACTCTTGACTTCCTCAACCCAGCCAAGCTTTCCAGCAGCATCTTGACGATCAAGCCGGGCATTTCCTTCTTTTTTGCTCCAGTCCATGAACCCAAAGAATAGTTAGGTGGTTATTCTTCTCATTTCTTTCCTCAATTGGTCTACGACTGCGTCTAGGGACGATCATGTACTACTAGATGGGGTTAGTAGGTGATTATAGCAGTAGCAGTAGTGGTTAATCCATTAGTATAGTCAAGTTAAGTTGGTAGTCTAACGTCCTAGAAAGTTCAGTCCTCCACTATATTCCACGACTATTACAAGAGTTAAACCTTACTAGAAGTTAGAGCCAGACAGAGAGAGCCAGTGTTATACTCCGGTCTCCGTGGAAGTTTCCATGAGCGGGCCATGGGGCCAAACCTTGGGTGGATCATACTGCCGTGATCGGACCGACACATTGGGCGAGGTGCAGCCCTGGGATTATTGTGTCTTTAGGGTGGTAGCGCCCGTACCGGGGTTCCTTTTGTCCGTTTCTTCCCCCCCCCACCCCTTCCCTTCCATGGTCCAAGGTGGCAACTCATCCGAGCTATCGTCTGCTGCAATCAATCAGATTGGATGATTGGGCGTATGGTGGTACTTGATTTGTTCTTGGGATTGGTACTACTTTGTTAGGCTTTACGCGTTCCCGTCCTGTGAAAATAGAATATTAGGTTCCCGACTTTGAGAGTTGAGGTGGTGGTTGAGTAGTGTCACGATGTGGCATGACTTTGGATATCCTGTTCTTGACCGCAACTGTGAACGAGAATTAGGAAGTCCCTCACCTAGGTAGTCATTTTTTTTTTTTCTTAATATCTTATTTTTTTATTTACTTTTTTATGATCACCCGCTTGGTCGGCTTGCTTCAGCCATATCCAAATCGGAAGGTCGATGCTGAGTCGGAGCTACACGGAGGGGTGGATGCCACGATCAGGATACTTTCCAAGGTCCATGGCGTTTAGGTTTCGCAATTGAGTTTAAAATTCTGTCACCACATTATTGTATACCTCGTATGGGGATGTGTCTGGAACAAATCCTGCAAATATATCGACAAATCAAAAAGAACGGAACATTCCCCGAATATACCTCTAGGTGCCTTGCCTACCTTGGGTATATGCCATCTACTTGAAAACTTGGAAGTAGACGATATGTACCACATCCGGACCACGGGAGTACTCCGTAGGTACAGACAAAGTACAGCTACTAACTATCTGCATTCTGCACTCTCCCGCCGTAGTCCCCTCCCCCGTTCCCTCTCTTTGACTAGCGATAAATAGCAAGGTTATCCAGTCTGACAATTCGAGGTCCACAATCGAAGCGGGAGAAGCTCTCAGCGAAAATCTCCTGGTGGGGAACAGGGCGCCTGAAGAATTCAAACCATCGGGGGGAAGGGGGGGGTGTTGGATGGCTTAGGGATGGAGGGATCATGTGCCCAAACCAAGCCTTGCTTACGTATCGACGTGGTCTCCGGGTGAGAAGGGCGGCAGTTTTTGATCTGGTTGGATTTTAAATAAATTAATTAATTCGGGGGATTATTTTAAATATTCTGGGTGGGATTATAGTAATCATTAATATGGCAAGCCTCACTTTAGTCTTTGTTATATTATTATATTATATTTGTTATTATTATGATGATGATATTATTAGTAGTAGTATTTTCCCTTTTTGTATGGTATTGACGAAGGTACCAATAACATCCCAAAACAGGCGAACTTTGATGTGATCCATCAGACGCTCTCATCTTGGTAGTCCCCCTACCTATGTAGACATGTACAGATGATAGTGGCAAGGCCACGACGCACCGAACCCGGACGAGTCGTTTTCTTCCCTCGTCTCTTGATCGATGAGTGTGCTTAGTACCTAGAGGGTAGTACCTATCGAACCTCCAAGTGCAGTGCGCAATGCGCACACTCTGCTCAATGCTAGTG